AGGGAGTACTCTCTTCTCCAAGATCTTGCCAACTCTTCTCCACGAGTAGTTACTACTTGAAGTGAGATGTTGCCTCATTTTGTAAGGTCATTCCTTCCAAAACAACATTTATTATTGTTGTCCAAAGAGCAGTGTGGAATGGCAGTGCCTACAACCTTGAGGTAAGATGTCTATCAGAGCAACCATTACATTTTCTGCTTTGTTTACTTACATAGCATGCATGGAAATTTCCTCTGCAGCCAATGCACCTTCCTCACACTCCAACACTTGTAGCATTTTCCCCCAGGAAAAAAAAATGCCAGAAATGAGGAGGACCAAAAGGGAAAGTGCCTGAGATGATGTGGAAAACAGGAGAGGTATGTCTTGTTTTCTCACTGATGTGCTCCTTGTGATTTTAAATTAGACACTCACTGTTTTATATGTGACAGCTAGTCTGGTATGTCAAATTAAATTGTAACACTTCCTGGGGGAAAACTCCACTTTTTTCTTGTTTACCTTCATCTGATGACTTTTATAAGTCTTCACCTCATCCAAATAATCAGCACTGCTATACTGCTATTCCTGTATGAAATCATAGCAGAATGTCCTTTTATGCTAGAAGACTGGCAAATCTAATTGCTGTAGATTCTGTATCTTTCTAAAATGCATATGTCTTGATATCACTCAGATTATTGATGTACATACACATACACACACACACGCGCGCCAATAATTCTTGACTGAATAACAGCATTGGCATAGCTGAAATCAAGAAAGCCAACTTCCAAATGCAGTAAACAGCTCATTTCACCTCAGCTGTTCCTCCTGCATTTGCTTTGCAAAAGGACTAACAAAAATGTATCTCTAATGATGTGCGGGGTATCTTTCCCACCACCAAATGTCCATAAACCATTACACAATGTGGGAGCCCCTGGTGGTGCAGTGGGTTAAACCCTTGTGCCAGCAGGACTGGTCGCAGGTTCGAATCCGGGGAGAGTATGGATGAGCTCCCTCTGTCAGCACCGGCTCCCAGTGCGAGGACATGAGAGAAGCCTCCCACAAGAATGGTAAAAACATCAAAAACATCTATTGTCGAAGGCTTTCATGGCTGGAATCACTAGGTTCTTGTAGGTTTTTTCGGGCTATAGGGCCATGTTCTAGCGGCATTTCTCCTGACGTTTCGCCTGCATCTATGGCAAGCATCCTCAGAGGTAGTGAGGTCTGTTGGAAATAGGAAAATGGGTTTATATATCTGTGGAATGACCAGGGTGGGACAAAGAGCTCTCTGCTGAAGCTAGGTGTGAATGTTTCAGCTGACCACCTTCATTAGCATTTGAAGGCTTGGCTGAGCCTGGGAAAATGTTCTGTTGAGAGGTGTTAAGATGTGCCTGGTTGTTTCCTCTCTGCTGTTTTGCTGTAGTAATTTTAGAGTTTTTTAATACTGGTAGCCAGATTTTGTTCATTTTCATGGTTTCCTCCTTTCTGTTGAAATTGTCCACATGCTTGTGTGTGAGCTCACAGCAGCCGCTCCCAATAATGACACAGGACGATAATCCGTAATCAATCAGGAAACTTTTACTGCTGGACATTCATACACAAGAAAAGCCAGGATTGGCTTGCAGCCGCAGTTCAACCCTTATATACCCTCCCTCACAATCAAATTCCCTCTTCCCGCCAGCCGAAAAACCCGCGCAACCTTCCCCGCCAAACATCAACTGCTTTTCCCCAAGGCCACCAGCTGCACACTCTTATCAGTCCGTGTCAGGATTCTGGTTTATGGCGCCAAGACTCCAGGCCTAGAAACCAGTTCCTGACATGATGTCCTCCTCCCCTTCTTCCTGGAGGGAAGATATGCATCACTGCTACATTCCTTCCTTATCCAGCGACCCTTGGTATTTTTTTAACAGACTACAATGAAACGTTGGGTGTATCTTTCCCAAAACCTTTGGCAGTCGCAATGTGTATGTGACCTCATTGACTTTACTGGAGATCTTAAACGGACCAATGTATTTTGGAGATAATTTCCTAGAAGGGGTATCCAATTTGATATTTTTTGTACTTAACCATACTAAGTCCCCCTCCTCCAATTTCTCTCCTTCCCTCCTTTTCCTATCCGCAAATAACTTATATTTTCGTTGGGCTTCTCTGAGTGATTTCACGACCTCCTCCCAACTCGCCCTTACTTTGTCTGGCCACCCCTCCCTTCCCCATGGTTCCTCCTCCTCCCAACTTGGCAGTTTTGGCAAAGGGGTCACTTCCATGCCGTAAACTATTTCAAAAGGGGATTTCCCTGTGGATGCGTGACAGGCTCCATTATATGCGATTTCTGCAAATGGGAGTAAGTCGGCCCAATTGTTTTGGCAATGATTTGTGTACGTTCTCAGGAAAAACCCCAACGTCTGCTGTGTGCGCTCAACCCCCCCATTGGTCATGGGATGGAATGCTGAACTCAGTGTTCTTTCTACCCCCATCAGTTGCATGAATCGTTCCCAGAAACGTGCCGCAAACTGCACCCCTCGGTCACTGATTACCTGATCGGGACAGCCATGCAGCCGATAAATGTGTTTGATAAACAGTTCGGCTAATCTTTCAGCAGACGGCAATTTGGGCAGCGCTATGAAGTGTGCCTGCTTTGAAAACAAGTCCATTACCGTCCATATGTAGCGCTGACCTCGGCTATTCGGGAGCTCACCCACAAAGTCCATGGCAATCACTCTCCAAGGTTTCGATGGCTCTGCTACTTTCTGCAACAACCCTGTGGGTTTCTGTGTGGGTGTTTTGTTCTGTGCACATACATTACATTGGTATATATATGATTTCGCATCACCCCTCATCCCGGGCCACCAACACTGGCGTGCCAGTAGTTTTAGGGTTTTCGTGACTCCCCAATGTCCCGCTCCCTTGTTGTCATGGCATCTAACCATCATTTTTTTCCGTAGGCCGACTGGGATATACACTTTCTTGTTTACAAAGCCCAATCCGCCCTTCCATTCCACCTTTTCCTTGTTCTTCTCCAGCCATTCGTCTTCCCTGTATGCCTGCCTTATCTCCTCTTCCCATCCCCCGTCTTTGCTCTCCACCCCCACTAGCTTTTGGCTGCGCTCCGCTTGTGCTCTGGTTTGCACTGCCATGCCCCACTGCCGCTCCGAAAAAATGCTCCCCCTTGGGTTTTCCCCCCTCCCTTCATCCTCCGGCAATCGTGACAATGCATTAGCGACCACATTTTGTCTCCCCTTGTGGAACTTCAGCTGGAAATCGAACCTGCTGAAGAATTGGGCCCACCTTATTTGTTTTGCTGACAATCTCCTGGGCGAAGTGACATATTGCAGGTTTTTATGGTCGGTCCATACCTCAAAGGGTATGCCGCTCCCCTCTAGCAAGTGTCTCCATGTTTCCAGGGCCCTTAGAATTGATAGGGCCTCCTTTTCCCACACTGGCCAGTTTCGTTCGGTCTCGCTGAACTTTTTTGATATAAAACCACAGGGCTTCAGCCTCCCTTCCGGATCCCTTTGCATCAATGCCGCCCCATAAGCCCAGTCTGATGCGTCGCAATGGATTACAAATTGCTTAGCTAAATCGGGGTGGATTAGGACGGGCCCTTCTGTAAATCTGGTTTTTAGTTCTTCGAAGGCCCTCTGGCACTCTGCTGACCAATTCAATTTAGCTCCCGGGGATCGTACCTTTGTTGTCTCCCCCCTCCCCTTGGTCTTCAGCAATTCCGTGAGGGGTAGTGCCACCTGAGCAAAATCCTTTATGAACACCCGATAAAAGTTTGCAAACCCCAAGAACGACTGCAATTGCTTGCGTGTTCGGGGGGGGGGGCATCCCTTGACATCCTCCACCTTCGCAGGGTCCATTGCCACCCCCCCCCTGGGAGATCCTGTATCCAAGGAAATCTATCTGTTCCTTGTTAAATTCACATTTTGGTAGCTTTGCGAACAACTTTGCTTCCCTCAGTTTCTGGAGCACCTCCCTCACCAATTGAACGTGTGATTGCTTATCACGGGTGAATATGATTACATCGTCCACAAAGCAGTACACTCCGCGATACAGCAGCGGGTGCAATACCTCATTTATCATTTGCATGAATGCTCCCCCAGAACCTTTTAGCCCAAAAGGGCACACGGAATATTCAAAATGCCCTAGCGCACATGCAAACGCTGTTTTCCACCTGTCCTCAGGCCGTATCCGCAACTTATGATAGGCCTCAATCAAGTCAATTTTCGTGAACACCCTTGCCTCCGACAGTCTCGACAGTAGGTCCTTGGTTAGAGGCATCGGGTAACTGTTGGTTGTGCTCACTGCATTCAGTCCCCTATAGTCCACGCACAACCTCAATGAACCATCCTTCTTGTGCCTAAATAGCACTGGAGCCCCCAATGGGGATTCGGATGGTGTTATGAATCCTCGGGCCAAGTTTTTATCAATATATCTCCTCAGTTCTTCCATCTCCTTAGCCGACATGGGGTATATTCTACTCCGTGGCAACTTAGCATCTTTATTGAGTTCGATTTTCACTTCGACCCGTCTGGGGGGAGGGAGCTGATCCGCTTCCTTTTCGTCAAACACATCCTCAAAGTCTCTGTATTCGGGAGGGATCTCCTGCACTCCATCCATTGTGCTCCCCTCCCCCTTACAACATTCCCCCCTCTCTTCGCCTTGGAAGCTCAGGCTGCCCTCTCTCCAATTGATTTGTGGGTTCGCCTCCCTCAGCCACGGCATCCCCAATATCACATTGTAAGTTGCTATCGGGGATATCACAAATGTTACTTCACCTTCCCAATTCCCTATCTTGCATTGCACTTCTCTTACTTCAAACCGTGCCGGAGCTCCAGCAGCCACCGAGCCATCCAGTTGTGAGAATGCTATAGGGGCTGGTAAGGCTGCTTTCTCACATTTCAATTCGTCTGCCAACTCTGGGGTCATAATGTTCCTGGAGCAGCCACAGTCCATGAGGGCTTTGCAGCTGGCCCACTTCCCTTCCCCTTCTAGCCTTATCGGGAATACTAACATCCCTGAGCTGTGACTCACCGGATCCCCCATTGGGGTCCTATGAGGGAGGCTCTCTTCCGCTCTCCTCCCGGCCGCTGGTTTCAACTTTGACTGAGGGGGGTCCCCCCCTTCCTCTGCTGACAAACAGCGGCCCGATGTCCAAAACGACCGCATACATAACAACCGCCTCTCTGCTCCTTAGGTTCTCCGGCTGGGCGCCTCTCTGCCCTCCGATTCTCTTCCTTGGCTCTCGGCTGCTGCGACGTCGCCCCTCGATGTCTCGTGACTTGAGCCAAGGTCGTCTCGATGCGGCCAGCTAGCTCGATCCATCCGCCTATCTCCTCCGGATCGTCGCGATGGAGTGCCCAAGTCAAGATTTCCCTCCGCAGGCCCCCCTTAAATATCTGGACCTTAGTAGTATTGGACCACTCAGGCACCTTATCTGCTCGCAGCTGGAATTCTTCCACATATTCGGATATAGAGCGCTGGCCTTGGGTTATTGTTTGCAGTCTCTCTCTCGCTCGGACCCTCTCGAGCGGGTCCCTAAAGCGTGCCTCCATCGCCGCCAGAAAACGTCTCGTGGACCCCAAACATGGGTCATGCCTGGCATGGAGTTGGACATACCATTCCGCTGCTCCTCTCCTCAGTGCTGCACCCACTGCTCGCACCCTGCTTGCCTCCGATCTGAAGGTGGCTGCGTTATCCTCCAGGTATCCCCTCACTATGGTTAGGAAATAATCGAGGTTCCCAGCTTCACCTCCGAATTCGATCCGCAGCTCCTCCCTCCTCTGTCGCGGGGCGATGGGTTGCTCCCCTCGGCTCTCCGCTCGGGGTGGCCCTCCCTGGAGCCCCTGCTGCTCCGGGGGCAATTCGTGCCGCCCTGTGCCGCGCCCGGCTCCACCCGGGGGCACCAGAAGCGTCTGCTGGGATGGTTGCATAGACCCAACTCAAAGAGCGAGAGAAGAGCGGCACCAGAAGGGGCACCAGAAGCGGCTAGGGCACCGGAAGGGCCATGGGGGCAAGCGACCAGGGGGCCGGGGCGACCAGAAAGAGGGGCGGCCCAGAGAAGCAACGGGGAGAGAGGGCAAACCAAAGGCGAAGAGAGAAAGAGAAGAGAGGGAGAACAAAAAAAGAGAGAGAAGAAGAGAAAGAGAGAAGAACACGTAACTGAAGGGAAGACATAGCCTAGACTGGCTTGCCTCGATGCCTCAACGGGGGGTCACCGACCAGACAGATACGCAAAGCTTGAACGGCGGGGGCGACAGAGAAGTTAGCGTATCTGATGGGTTGCTGGGTTCGAACCTCAGTTGGGTATGGTTTGTGTATATTGTTTCCTTGGGGTGGTTCACTCCTCTCCCCCGACACTCCCCACGTTGATTCCCTTGGGGGTCGGTGGGGGGGTTCAGTGGTATTCATTAATCCTCACCAAATCAAGAGAGGGGTCTATAAAGATATGCTCCCCTCCGCTCATCACCAGTCTTCTTGAATCACCAGCAATCGCAAAAAGCATTGATGATGCTGATGA